TAGAAAGAGGTCAACGACAGTTACCTACTCTAGAAGCAGATGATACTCGGATTGTTACAAAAGTGAGGTGGATTGTTGAATCCAGAAACGGACATTTTAAAACAATCTTTAAAATGTTGGCTCAAACGTTTAACGTGCAGAATACTAAACATATTGGAGATTATTATAGAATATGTGGTGCTATCATTAATAGGTATCATCCTCCTATCAATATGCAAAGTGCGACGATTGAATTAGCCAGAAATATGCTTCGACGAAGGAACGACGTCAATGTTGTTCAGGCACGAGTGGAAGTAGACAATCTCCTATACCGAAACGCTCAGTGGCAGAGACTACATGATCAAGTGCGCAGATTTCCTCAACTGGATATCGATTACTTGCGCAATTTGACTATTGGTGTATATCAGGTCAATTTCGCACTTTCTTATATTCAAGATAAGCTGCAAAGGGACGATGACGAATTACAGATTGACACTGCGTTGGTAGATAACAACCTTATAAGACTCAGAATTTATTCACGATTTCGGAATCGTACGAAACATCAAGTCTTTATTTCTTACATTCCGGAAAATGAACTGGAGCTAGAAGACGACATAATAAATGGTTACTACTGCACCTGTCAATCCGGTGCCAGAACATTAGGTACATGCGCACATGTTGCAAGTGTTTTATGGTATTTAGGATTTGCTCGTCACCAAAGGCATATTAAATATCCGGATGGCAGTCTTCTAAATACGACCAGAGATGCCGCTAATAGAGAGTATCAAGAGAGTNNTAAGTAGCTTGTCACTAAAGGTATATTAAATATCCGGATGGCAGTCTTCTAAATACGACCAGAGATGCCACCAGATTTGCACATAGTGTGCAAAATCCGATCGAGCAACCTCCTCGTGGTGCACACTGAGTAATGCTAATGCCGACGGTGCTTCATGTTTATACGATGAAAGAAGAAGAGAATCATTTTTTACCTTTTGCGCGATTTTTTATTTTGACTCCTGAAGGGGAGTTAAAGGGTCGGGGGGTCAAGGGGTCATATTTTTTAAGGGCCCACAGTACTACCATTGGGTTTTAAGGGATCAAGTAAATGGACAGTGCGCACCAGTGCTTCTTACACTCAGATATGCTCAAACTTGGTAGTTTCGAATAAGAAATTATTATTGACTTTTGACCCTCCATATCTCGGAAACTATTCAACTTACGACCTTGAGCCCATTGGAACTTTTGATCAGGACATCAGGAACTACATCATATCAAAAATTCAGCTAATTTAACCGGGGGCCATTTTCCATAAGATATGTGCGGGGTCCTTTTAAAAACAGTTGTTTTCTTGGTAAAGGCAAGGTCACCTTGGGTTTTTTAAGTAGGAACATACAGTTTTTTTATTCATAACAATAGAGGACATCTATACGAATTCAAAACACATATTACATGATATTTTTATTAACATATTACTCGATATGCAGAAATGAAAATATGAAGTAAAAGACCAGAAGGAGGAAATGTGAAGTACTTAGCTTTTGACTTTGGTAATGTAACCATTGTTTGATTCCGAAGAGATTACTGAATGTAAACACGTGACTAGAATGTAAGAAAAATACACTTTATTCAATTACATGTTCAAAATGTATGCTGCCTTCCATCACGTAATATTCTGGTCTTTTACTTCATATTTTCATTTCTGCATATCGAGTAATATGTTAATAAAAATATCATGTAATATATGTTTTGAATTCGTCTCGATATCCTCTAATGCTCTGAATAAAAAAATGTATATTCCTATTTAAAAAACCCAAGGTAACCTTGACTTTGTAAAAAAAAAACTTTTTAAAATTTGCTTTACTAATACCTATTGTGTACTTCATACCCTGCAAATATTGTTGTAAACTTTTTTTCGTAAGGTGGCTGCAAGTGGGAGAAAAATCGTGAGTAGCGTTAGAGGTAACACCCTGTATACGCGACTAAAAATTCAATATTCGCTCGTGGACAACACTGAATTATAAATTAATGAAGGTACTTCGTACTAAGACGTATTAATGATACATTTATTTAATTATTTGCTACAAATTTTAACTTCCAAAATGCAATGCCATAAGCTTCGCAAAGCATTTATGTCACGGCTTTATATTTTAAAATAGCTATTTGTTTTAACTGAATTTTACATTAGGAATATTTATCAATAATTTATGTGCCTTGCAATTTCTCCAACCTCAAGCTTCAAATTGGTAAGCTATGAGTGTAAGTTAATAGTACCCATATGTTATTAAATCATTATACTTAAACAGTCTAAAATATCATGCTTTAAGCTTACCGTAGTTTTGTCTGAACAATGAAAAAGACGATCTTGAAGCAAAAATGCACATCCATGAGATATTAAGGAATCTCTTTCCATCTCTCCAAATCGAACACCACCACCTCTTCGTCTACCCTTTATTGGTTGTCTTGTTAAAACATCAATTGGACCAGTACTTCTAACCTATACAAATTTTTAGAAATTTAATAAACATAAATTAAATTTTAAGTTGTCAAAAATTGAAGATGTAATAATAACCTGCCATTTATCTGAAACCATATGTCGTAGTCGCTGGTAATGTACTATTCCGAAGAAAATGTCAGCAGTCATTTCTCTTCCATCTATTCCTGAATATAATCTTTCTGTTCCATAATAATTATAACCGCCGCGTTCTAATAATTTTCCAAAATATTCAACTGCTGTTTCATCCTCATTAAATCGAAAGGATGTTGCATCATGCACTAATCCATGTATAGCTGCTGATTTTCCAGCCATTACTTCAATCATCATAGCTATTAATTAAATACAAAGTAATCATAATTTAGTCGCTTTTGAATATAAGAATACATTTCTTATGTGAATTTTAATTTTACCTATTGTCATACGACTTGGAAAACCATGAGGATTAAAGACAATATCAGGTATCAGACCAGTTTCAGTAAATGGTAAATCCTCTGCTGGCCATTTTTGTGAACAAATACCTTTTTGGCCTGCTCTTGAAGCAAATTTATCTCCAACACTTGGATTACGCTGAAAAATAATATACTCATTAGATAGTTATCCTTCATGTTGATTTATAAAATATAAATTATAATGGTACTAACTGAAATACGGAAAGTGATGCAAGCTCTACGTGGAATATGACTATGCAATGTTCCACAAAGCTTTACATTATCAATGTGAGCATCTTCTTTTCCATGATATTTACCAGTAACATATGTTGATTGATCTGCATCGTAATAACTATGTAAAAAACATATTTTGTGTAAAATGAAATTAATTAAATCAAGTTCGTTTATTTTAAAAATAACTTACCAATAATAGATATCACCTTCCTTAATAATTGTACCTGGTACGGGTAGACCATCAACGTCTATTTTTGCCGCGAGTTCGGGTTTATCAGGATTTCGTGCAAAATAACTTCTTTGATCTTTCAAGTCTACGAACTCTGATTTATAAATCATTCCATGTGCAAAACCCCTATCATATGCTGCTTTGTTTATAATCATTGCATCTTCCATATCATATCCCTTTAAATATATAATAAATACAAATTTTTAATATTATATAACACATACTTAATTCTGGGTATATTTCAAGTAGATAGAAATTCAATAACTTTTGGTATTTGAAGATTCAATTTATTATGAATAAAATTCAAAATAATTGTAAACATTATTGAATATAATAATGGATCAGGCTCGAATTTTGAAATAAAATCAGTAAAACGTTTGCAACAAAATGAAATCAGAATTAATAGTAAAGAGGATTCATTATATAAATTTACACTTTATAAAGAATTATGATTTCAGCTTATTTACTTTTATTTATGATTTTTAAATTTAAATTTTTAGTTCCTTTTTATTTCATTTTCAAATTTATTTAAGTTTGTTACAAAATGTATAAAACATATTTATGTAATTATGTCATTCATTTGCAAAATCGAAACGAAAACTGTTTTGAATTTTTTTATCATATAATTTTGTACTGTCTCTTGAAATTTTCAGAAATGTAAATCAGACTTTAAATAATATCGACAAATTTAAGAAGCTAAATTTTTTACGATTTTTGTGACTAATCAGGTGACAAATTATAACTCTGTTATTGAATTAATTATCTAATTCTGTATTATTTCCTATTTCCTTTAATTTAAATATTTAATTTCTGTTGAGACATATGTATGATTGAAAATATATATTTCTTACTTTAATAAAATTATAGCTTGAAACTTTAAAAATGTAAAACTAAAATTGTATGTATATATTATAATATTGTTTTTTTTTTTATATAGTGTTCGGTGTACAAATGTATAGTATACTGAAATACACTATATTTTAATGGAAATTTTTTACTATCAAATATCTTTATAATGTAAGTGACATGATCAAATGAAAACGATGACATGCTGCAATATACTTAAATATATTATATTAGGGATATTAAGAAATAGAAAAACAAATTTTTTGCATATATCTTAGAAATTAAGATCGAGAGGTGATTTTAAGTACGTAAGAAAAGTTATTCAAAATGTTGACCTTATTTTTTGAAACATATTTTTGCAAAAATCTGAAGAATTAAAGCCAATTTAAGTTTATATATACGCCAACAAATTGTTCAGAATGATATTCTTGACAACATATATAATTATAACAACAGACAACTAGTTTCAAAATAAAATTATTTAGTAATGAAAAATTATATATGTTCGATAGGAAACTAAAATGAAAGATTTACAAATGACACTGTACAACATTTAAAATTCATACTTTTTTAAAAATAATTTTCTGAATCAGAATTTTATTAAACCCTAAAATAAATCATTTATTAGTTTAATGAAAATATTGAAAGACTACATGTTCTGTTATATAACTGGTTGTTCTGGAAATTTTTTTATAACATTTTGTTGCAATAATCTGAGTATGTTATGTATGAAAAAAGTAAAATATAAATTCAAACAAAATAGTAATTGTGGTAAAGGACTAAATAAACATTTTCTTTAACGAATATTTTCCACATTACAAAGAAAAAAGGATTATATGCGCGTATTGTTCTATTTTAGTCCAATATGCGATTTTTCCTAGGTACGTAAAATAGCTTCGAAAAGTAAGTTGATACATTTTAAAATGAAATACAATTTTTACAATTGGATGTAATGACGAGTTTTTTTGTCGAGCTTAAAAAATTAGTTTAAAATTATGTATTTTATTAATCTTGAAAAAAATCTGTAATTCTATATGAAAATGTAATAAAAATTTGAAAAATATGTTTTATACATATGTACGTACAGAAAATTTCATTGAAATCGGTTAAAATACTTAGAAACTACAAAATAATTAAAATTGAAAACAATCAGTTGTTGGTAAACTAATTTTTCCAACATTATAGAACAATTCAACATGTTTGATCCAATTGTGCAAAACTTATTCAATTTTAAAATATACGCAAAATTAGTTGTATTTCAATTAAATACAGAATACTACATAATTAAAATATTAATTACAAATTTGTAACATTAAATAAATATTTTAGTTGATATGAAACTGCATTATTAATTTCAATTGACCAATTTAATACAGTCAAGAAGAAATTTCTGAAAATACTTTTATTTTCATTTCAGTGCTACTTTATTTACGACGGCATATATTGTATTACTTACAGTGTATGAAATAACAGCAACTATTGCATTAGTACCCATAGCGAAATCATCGAGATTAATTTTATCGTAATGTACAGGTCGAAAAAATGGTGTTGCCGGTGTCTGAAGTCTGTATAATTTAGTTTCAGATTGTAATTGCCACGTGTGACATGGAGTACCCATTGTTTGTTTACCCATCTGAAAATGTAATTAAATTACATATCACAAAGAGTTTTAAATAACAAAAATTAAAAACAATCTTACCTGACATTGATACATATTCCGGGGACTTTGGTTACAATCTGGCATTGGAATTAGACTTGCTAAATTACTTAAAAATGCAGTTTTTGATAGTTCTTGGTGTGTTGTTAACTACAATCATAACCAAAATTGTAATAAACAGTACAGATTAATATAAAAACATAAACAACAAAGTAAATCATTACTCCTTCGTAAGCTTCCTCAGGTGTAACACAAATATTTAAATAAACTTGTTCAAATGTTCCTATATATTCAATCTTCTTAGAAGCTAAATTCATTACTGGTCTCATCATACGAGCTGCATTCGTGAATAAATATAATCCTGGATACTGAGCTGGTACATTTTTTTTTGGTACAAGTACTATCTCCATAATACGTGGGACCTAAATATAAGTTAGAAAATAGCAACGATTTAACTTAACTATATTCGACCGAAAAAAATTAGTATAAAGCAATTACCTCCTCCCCTTTTATTTTAAGTAACCGTAATTTGTCAGTCACTCTAGAAATTATATTATTATCTATTAATCCAATTAATTTCCCATCTAACATTACAACATAAGAGTTTTGCCAATTATCTACAATCGATAATGGAATCATTCCAAGATCCATTAGTATAATAGGAATATTAGCTTTTAATTTGGGATCCGGATGTTTTGTAATAATACAATTCATTGTTAAATGATTCAAAAGACCACATGGAGCACCATCTGGTGTATGTACAGGACAAATAAAACCTATTGTGATAATTAATTAGTTATTAATTTGTCACCATTAAGAAAAAATTGTAATGAAGAAGTGCTGTTCAGTAGACATGAATATTTTATTATAATAAAGTATTACCCCATGCATCAGGCAATAGTTGTCTAGCCTCTGTAGTTCTCATTTCTTGAAAAAAGGAACCCCTATGTATTGCTCGAAAATGACTCATGTAACGCATTCTATTAATATTTTCAGCAACAATAGTAAGACCTGAACTTTGCATAAGCCCTAAACCCGTTGAAGATTTTATATTTCCAGTAGATAAAAAGTTCTCCATTTGTGAATCAAGGAAATTTCCATGTTTCATTACATTTAACATTTCCTCTATATCAACACATAATAGATTTACTTAAAACTGTTAATTTACATCTGCAGATTAGATTCTAAAATACTTACGCACGTTTAAAGTGTATCTATTACCAGCGCTTCTTGCACGTTTTAAAATGTTCATTTTTAAACTATTCAACCAACTATATAATTTTTCTTTCAATACTTGTAAATATAAATGACCACCAAGTAAGCATTCCTGCATCATCACAGCATCAGCTCCTTCAACAGCACACTTATTATTTGCGAGAGCAAACAACTTCTTTGTCATAAATACAAGCAAATAAAATTTATCCATTGGGTTATCAAGATGAATTGCTATACAATGTCTAAAAATATTATTTTTTAATAGCATATATAATACATTTTTAATCACCATATTTAATAAACTTACTTAATAATAAAGTCACAAACATCTGTATCTGTAGCATCTTGAGGTAGTTCAAAAAACTTTATTCTGAACATTCTTCCTATGTAAGTTTTACAGTCTTCATGACTGTGTAAATTTTGTTCATGTATTGCTCGTAACATATTCAAAATACAACCTTTATAATACGGGTCATCTTCACATCCAGCTGTTAATGCGTTATAAATAAAGATGTCTGAAGCATCAATTAAACATTTCAGTATTAAAATCAATGGAACATAGTATAAAACTTTTCTATGTGTGAACATTAATTTTGCAGAACCATCAATTACGTAGTGTAAGGTATTGTTCTGTAACATATGCACTTAAATGACACTTTTATACAATTTATAATAAATATAAGTTATATAATACATACACTTGCAGTATTATCATCACGCACACTTCTCAAAAGTAATCCCAGGTCACTAAATTGTACACCACGAGCTTTCCAACCTGACCTTTTAATAGCAATGGGATAATTTCTTCTTGTCATTAACAACATTCTAATAATTCTTTCAAGCCCTTTAATTATAAAATATCCCCCCCATTCTTGTTCATGTTCTCCATGTGCTATTAGTTCTTTTGGACTCATTTTGTGTAAATGACATCTATTAGACTATAATTAAATATAGATTAAACACATAAACAATCAAATATATGTAATAATATTATATACCTTAATCATAATTGGAATTTCTCCTAAATCTCTTTCAAGTGTCTCTTGAAGTTTACCGTTAACACTCCAACCCAGTTTAACTGTTATTTTTCCTTTATAAGTACATCCTCTCTGACGACATTCTGTAGGATAAATTTTATGGTTTTTTACCCCAATTGTACCAGATGGAACAATGGGTTGATGGATAGAAACATCATCAATCCATAAAGCCACTTTGTTTTCATTTGGAAGATGAATGTAAACAAGTGGATTGTCTTGAACAGCTTGAGAAAGACCATCTTCTAGCATATAATTAAAAGAATCTATGTGTGGAGTACCTAAGCTCTGCAATAACTGAAAAATATAAAAAAAAAAAAAAACATTAATTGAACTAATGTACTACTAATGTTAAAAAAAAGAAATAAAAATTATTTTCTAAAATCGAATACTTACAAGATTTTGTTTTTCAGGTGATTTGTTAAAATCTTCTGATGTGTTTGTTAATTTTGGTTCAATTAACATTTTTATACTTCAGTAATATAAAATAACCAATGTTTTAAATATAATTTAAACAGTATTACTTTATGTACACGTGTTTTTGTGAGTATAATACAACCAATTCTGACTCTAAATTCTATTCGCCAAAGGAACATAATCGCTATCCAATCTGGTTTCATTCATTCTTGTGCGTGTCGGTCTTATCTGATTGGTTTTAGGGTTTAGTGACTATCCAGGGAATTATTTGAAACAATATTCGCGTATTTGGTTAGCAGCCGCCAAGCTGATGGAAATCTGAAAAAAATACAAAGAGAAATTCTTTTACTAGAAGAAAAAAACAATAATTATGCATGCACTGTTGTAGGAACTTTGTTATGTTGCGTTTACCGTCCGCGGTCTAGGGATTTTATGATGTGGGTAAGTTAACCCGTGGAGCGCTGAGCGCTCTGCTCGCGGTGTGTAGAAGACTGAGTCCAACTATTTATTCCGATAATTGTCAAAGAACTTTTTACAAGAGCGAACTGGAGCGTATGAAATACAAAGTTAGTCTCATCGTTCTGCGCTTGGCGGAGGAGATCTTCGGGTGATGCAGATCGATGCCCCTTCCTCGCTGGATCCTGGATCCTCCCTCAGGATCATCCCTTGTCCAATGGTGGAGGAGTCCACCCCCGTCCGATGTGGGCCCCTTCTCCTGGCTGTGGTCCACCCTCAGCCGCGTGGTGGTGGAGGCTCCGCCAAGACGCGGGAACGTAGCATCGCACATGTGCTTAGAGAAAGCGTGAGACCCAGAGAACGCGAAAACAAAGGTCCTTGTACTGGGCGAAAATTTACGACCCTCTTCGAGTGCATGAAAAGACATTCGTAGGAGATCTCGAAGCTTTCCAGAAACTTTCAAGAACTGTACGCGACTTAGTCGAAAACAACGAATTCGATACGGTCCCTAATAAATTAATCCCTACAAACATTCGAAGTGAAGCTAAGTTTATTCTCTGGATTCCCAAACTTTTCCTAGCATGAACACCCACGTCGAGTGGCTTTAACAATATAAGCTTTGTTTGTTGTACATGATCGCACGCTCAGATGGTTTAAGTCTAGTGACAAAACAACTAAAGAGTGATTTTTGGAGCCTCTTGCGGCGAATTGAGAAACTCCGGCGATCCTTGTTCAGCTTGATCAAATGGATAAAGATAAATATTTCATTTCCAAAAAATGCGGAAAAATGGGACTGGCTCAATTGTAGTTTGGAAAGCCAAGAAGTAATATTTTCTCATGATTTCTCTCGCAAATTCTTTGCAAAGAATACAAATAAGAAATACAAAGAATTATATAAAGAATATTTTGCAAAAAAAAGCATAAGAAAATATTGCTTTTCCGTTTTAAAATTCGAAATCAAAATTTCGGTAAATCGGCATTGCTTAGTGCTAATTAAAGATGTGCAAAATCACCAACATTCATTTATTACAGTGATTACAAAATCACGATGATCCCGATCATTTCAATTACAACCGTGATCCAGAAGATAGTGTTTTAGGAGCCTTTACGTTACTGTTGTAACGCTATCGCTCGAGTGGAGTAAGAGAAACGTCTGAATTTTGTTACGTAGAAAGGGTATAGCCCAGGGGTCGGCAAACTTTTGAGTCGGAAGAGTCAAAAATTACAATTTACAAAATTTCAAAGTTTTTAAAGAGCCTCAAAATTTTTTCTTGCCAACAATAAATAGTACTCGCATAAATAAAGTTTTTTGATAAAAAAAAACTAAAATATTTATTCATAAGAAAAACATCCAACGACGGCGTCATTCAAGAGTTTCCGACGGACTGACGACAGTGACGACGCGTGTCATGGGGGAGGGGTGCGGTGAAGAGCGAGTACAAGTGGCTGAGAGATAGAATTGGTGCCTAATCTTCGTTAATCGATTTAGAACGATTTTTGAATCGTTTTTTTTTTTTTTTTTGATAAAATAAATAATATTTGCGTATAGAACTAAAGAGCCGCAGCTTCACAACTTCACATCCAAAGTGCCGCAACTTCACATCCAAAGAGCCGCATGTGGCTCGCGAGCTACAGGTTGCCGACCCCTGGTATAGCCGAATAAGGTAGTCAAATGTGCCCTTGACTCAAATTAGAAACTCAATTCGTCAGTCGCTAGCATATCCAAAAAAAACATCTCACACCAAGTTTCAACTCTCCATTTCATCCGTGGGAGTAGTAAAAGAGAAAAATCGAAATTCTGGTTTTTGGCCTATTTTTTTTAACCGACTTCGATAAAGGAGGAAGTTACTCAATTCGATCAGTATATTTTTTTTTTTCTATGTATGTTCGCCGATTACGCCTAGCTGGATGGAGTGATCGGAATGAAATCTTTTGCATCTGGTAGGTGCTGACTCCTCATTGGTACCATTATCAAAAAATTTTTCATTTTTTAATTGCAAAGTATTGTTATTGCAAAAAAACCGGCAACTTTTGAAATAAACTTTTCTCGATTTTAGTGCTCTTTTGATATCTTATCACGGACATGATTCTGAACAATTTTGTTCATATACAAATTTCGCGGAAAGCTTTTGTTCGAACGATTTTAATGTCCTTCGAATATGTTGTTAGGGGCGTGGTTCTGGACAACTTTTTCCTCTTGCATAATTGACGGAAAGCTTTTGTTTTTGAGATATTAGCGACAAACTATTGTTATTAATATTAGTGGAATGCCCCGCTATGCATGGGAAAGACAAGAAAGGGCAATTATAATGCACTGTACCAAAACACTAACTAAGCTTTACCGCTCTGACACGCGACTTATACAGCAAGATGAGTTCACGTTGACGTTGGTGTATTATTCCCATTGCTTGGTAGTCTCCGTATCGTTCTAAAAATGCATCAATTTGATTTGTTAGAAAATTTGTTGCGTAGGATCTGCTATTATTTTACGGCTACTTTGACCCTTGCGCAGTTCTAAACCGTAAGAGATACACATGCGCAGTAAATTTTTGCAAAGAAAGTTAATAAAGAACAAATGGATGAAACACCCTCAATCATGATGTAATTAGATTGTACTTGTCCCTGAAAGAGTGTCCTTGATTTTTTTTTCTATGCACGTTCGCCGGTTTTTTCCTAGGTGGGTGATCCGATCGGAACAAAGCCTTTCGCATCTTGTAGAGTCTGACTCCCCATTGGTACCATTACCAAAAATTTTTTCATTTTTTAGTTGCAAAGGATTATTGTTGCAAACAAAATTGAAAAACGAATATCCATATTGTCCTTTACTTAATTATGCTCATGGCATTTACGCAGACAAAAAAAAAGCCCGGAAGAACTGTCTCAGAGTATCCTATATAATTCTTCCCATTCCACTAAAAAGCGTGAAATAAAATAATTTTAAGAAAAAAAAAAATACACCGACTTCGAAATGCACTAAAAAGTATAAAATAATTTCTATTTCCTAATGAAGTAATTTCTATTTCATTGAATCATACAATTACGTCACAGATATGAATGAAACCTATTTACTCGTTAGGTAGTATATTAAATACATTTCAACCTTTTCGGAGGCGGCGCAAAATTAAAAGATTTTCTTGAACATGCCAACCTTTGGACAGCCGAACATAGGCAAAGCTTGTATAGCTATTTTTTTTTTTCTATACATATAACTCAACAGCACGCTGCGAAATAGGTGTTAGTGCGTATAGAATGGAACTATGGTCTATCTAGATTCATAGAGTATGCGACGGAAAGACTCGATCGCCGCATATTCTATAAAGATAGAGCCGATCTGCCAGTAGGTGTTAGTGCGTATAGAATGTAACTATGGTCTATCTAGATTCATAGAGTAGGCGACGGAAAGACTCGATAGAGCCCATCTGCCGCAAATTTGGTAATTCACGCGTCGTGGGCTCCGTTTATAGGTTCTTAGATCCATGGCTTCCACACGCGAACGAAGTCGATTCAATTTCATTTATATCAGAAACGTTGCGAAATGAAGATGCAGTCGTTACACTTACGTATATTACCAAATATATCTATAATGGTTCGTATTCTTTCTCAGGATTTATTAATTTCCAATACGCCATACCACAATCAAGTGGTTATTGGCAGCAACATTTACTGAGGTATTTTTAATTTTGCGCCGCCTTCGAAAAGGTTGAAATGTATTTAATATACTACCTAACGAGTAAATAGGTTTCATTCATATCTGTGACGTAATTGTATGATTGAATGAAACAGAAATTATTTCATACTTTTTAGTGCATGTCGAAGTCGGTGTATTTTTTTTTCTTAAAATTATTTTATCCTATTTTATTTCGTACAAAAATTCTGAAAGATTGTAATTTACATAGCGCATATTATAGAATTTTTTCAGATTCTTTTTATCGCAAACTTTAACTGTAAAAAATGAAAAGCCACATTTATTAATTTTACGTTGTAATTGGATATATTCCGAAACATAAAATTTTGCCTTGTAATCGCTGAATGTTTTTTGGGCGCAGAATTGAATCGCTTCATCTTCTTCGCACATCGCACAGTGGCGAAAAACGACAAAAACGTGGACAAAACTAATATCTTCGATTCTGAGATAAATTATCTAAATATTTTTCGATAAAATGATTATATTAGTGTTACAAATTAATTTTTTGTGTTAAAAATCGAATTTTGATTTGTTAGTTAACTAATACGGTTAGTTAACTAGTACGTATGAATTTTTATCTCGGAAACTATTTATCGAAATTAATTAAATCTTTTTGCATTTTAAACTTGAATGTTTTAACTATCATAATAATATTTTTTTCATTAGCAAATTCATTTTTTATTATCAGAAATTGCAAATAAATTTTTATTTTTAAAATTTTTTTACAATGTTTAAATATCTAATATGTAATATATACATATATATGGGTGTGGATATTGAAATCTCACCTACAAAACAAGACATTTTGCAAAGGTCAGCGACGACATATTTGAAAAACGTCCGAAACCGCTGTTGTCACGTATGATAATAGGGCGCGCGCGTGAACATAAATGTGAATAACTCATAAGACCGCAAATTACCGCAAGATATTGTAATAGATCCTTGTTCGGGAAGCTTCCAGGTTTCATTTAAGCCTATTTGGTAGGTGAACCGAGATGAAGATCACAACTTTTACCTTACACAAACATTAAATATGACTATAGTTTATATGTCTTTCTATATCACTGTTAAAAATAAACATTTTGTTGTGCAACTTACATAATTATAATGTTAAAGTATCATATAAACAGCCGATAATAGTGGACGAACATAATATTTAAAAAATAATTAACAGCATTATGTTAAACTTTACCCGGAAAAATTGACTTTAAAAAATATTCAACTTTGGAGGCTCGTATCTTCGAAATGGTAATAATAAAGTCATTAAAACTGTGAAAACAGTGTGCACAGATTCTTTATAAACTAGTTCCATTAAACGGATTTCAAGAATTGCGATTTTCATTTTTTAAATTTTGTCCACATTTTCGCCGTTTTTCGCCACTGTGCATCGTATTGGTGTGAGAAAGACGAGTCGATTTCGTAAATTCAACTTCTAACGTTCAATGATTACAAAAATGAAGTTTTTATGAGTGCAGCACTTATTAGTAGGCTTCACTACAGGGTGCTCCGTGGTGTCTTTAGACAACAAAACATAGATTCCATTTTATCCTGCAATTTCTATATAAATAATTTTTGTCATCAATAGTTCTTGAAATATTGCGCTATCACTTAGGCGTGGACACCGCAGGGTGTAATGATATTACTCATGTTTACAAATAAATATTTATTTTATTTGTTAAACTTTTAGTGGAGATGACCTATATCTTCATAAGAAATTTCATGATCAGAAAATTTAAGTTAGAATTTCAGCTAGTCAAGCAAGAATATAAATAGCGTACCGTTAATAACAATAAGGTATATTTATTATAACATAAAAGATATTAGTATATAACAAAAATGTTTGAATGCTTAATCTTTTAAAATACAATATATGTACTTATATTTGAAGGCAGAATTAAACAAAATTTGAATTACCAATTTTGCTTGGTTGTAAATTAGTTGATTTAAAGTTTAAATAGCATTTAATTAAATAGATTTAAATAGATTTAAATCAAGAGTTTATGTTAAATTAGATTTAACATCAAGAATTTGATTTCCATATGTAATATACTTTGGTTATAAACTGCCATTTTTACAAAACTTTATCATTATACTGTATAAGAAAGCTATGCAGAATTTGGAAGAATCTATAATTACAAGTATTCAAAATATGTAACATAAAAGAGAACAAATAATGACTGTAGATATATACATGTACATAAATAAGAAGCACCAGATTGTGAAGAATCTTTCTGTTTATCAGGTTGTGAAACACACAAATCTTCGCAATCTTCTTCTTCACAAACATCACAAAGCGTAGCCTTTCGTGGTTCGTAAAATACCCTTGCTCTTCTTGCTAAAAAGAAAAAAATATATCTAAATTTATCTAAATATACCTAAAAAATATATCTAAGCTTTACGTTACATGCAGATTAATTTTTATAATAAGTAACTAACTTACATGAATCATAATAGTCATATATAGAAACTGCTACTGGCTTCTGTTTTGCCACTTTATGTGTTCTAAATGCAGACACTGTAGGGCAGTATTCTTGTCTGTTCATCTAGAACATATGTATTATTTAATAAAACATATTCTAAAATGTAATTTCATTGAAAAAAAAACGTGTATGTATGTCTTTTATACACACCTCATCAAAATACAATATCACCATTGTATCTCCATTTTTAGTTTCAACTCGTTTTACATTTTGTGATACTTCAAGACTAGGTAGTGAATCTCTATCCACAGTAAAACCAGATGGTAAATTAACTTCCATCACAACCATGTTACTTTCGTTTGCTTCTTTAGTGGGGACAAATCTGGAAAAATACATTATAACGTAATATAATATTCTGCAAAAGATTGAATTGACTGATCATAACATACCCAGAACAAATAGAAAGTTGTAAATGATTGGCATTTGAGTTTTTATCCACTTGAGGATCTAATGTAAAGAGAGGCCATGCTCCAGTTACATTCAAATTGTACTGAAATGAAACTTGAATCAAGGCAAACCCAGTTCCAGTAGCAGTTACATTAACTAATCGTGTTTTCCTAGGGAGCTAAAAAATAATAAATATTATATATATTTTCTAATATTTAAAAATGTTAGATATTTGGCAACTTACTACTTGCTTTTGAAGTATCATAGAATTATCAGGATTTATATTCATATGACTTTGTCCACCTCCTTCATATGTAAATGTAATTGAGATAGTATTATTTCTTGTTGCCAATTGTTCGCCTAATTTGGCTAAAGCTTGTATTCCAATTACAGTATCCTGAGAATATATTAACAATTAATGTATTTACAATGTTAAATGAACTTAACGTTTATTTAACACTTACCTGTGTAGATGCAAAACCACCTTCGGCATTTCTTTGTCTTATAAGCCACTTCATTACAGGAACAGAATCAGTGATTAGATTACGTCTCACATAAGTTATTAAAGCATAGGATGTCATTTCAATGTCCACAGGTCGAGGTAATGAATACCATGGATTTTTATCATTCTTCGGTATAGGTTTACTCCACCATTTAAGGTCCTCTTTTGCCATAGCTTTAGATTCTAACAAATTAAATACAGCATTTTCGTATGGATGTTTTGCTAAATTTAGAACGTACGCGCATATACTTAAAGCATATACATCATCTAATTCATTTATATTACGAACAATGTAATCAATGCCTTTATTTATTGTATTTCTGTATTTTCCGCTAGAATCCTATAATAAAGATAATATTTTTGTTAATTGTAATAAACCGAAATTTCTATTTAGTTAAAAAATCAGCTTATTTTTTCAAACAATTTAATAAACTTACTGCATTTTCAAGAAAAGCTATAAGTGTGAATGCTGTTAATGCAAGTCCTTTTGCAGCTCCACCTTGCATATCTCGATGACTGACCCTTCCCACTTCGGGAAAGCTTCCGTTTGGAGCTTGATTATTTGATAACCATTGTAAAGCTTCATCTATTATTCTAGTTTCAACTGGAATGTACGTAGCAGCCTGTTTAAAAGCTTTTGCCACAAAGGCAGTAAGCCTAATACAGAACAAAATTACAATAGGAAATATCACATTATTTATGAATATAATTAATTAATTACTTATATCAAGCATACCACGTGCTTCCATTACTATCTGACATGCCAAATGCACTAAATGATCCATCATTATGTCTATAAGTTAACTCTCTTTGATAGCCTATTTCCATGTACCTCAAAGCTTTGCCTTGTACTGCTTGTGTCAACTGATTCGTACTCTATAAATTAATTTTTAGTGTCTTTTTCTGTGATGATCTGTATATACATACTGTCTTGTACATATATATTATATAATCACTTACTTTAAGATAATTTAATATCATTATGTTTGGAACAAAATTTAACATATTTTGTTCTCCACAACCAGATGGCAACTTGATTAAATTTGCCAAATTTAAAATACTCGGACCCAAAATATCACCTGATAAAATGTAGTTTAATATTAATTTCAATGTTTTATAATTTGTATTTAATATACTGGTTTGTCTGAATTGAATACAAATAATTTTATATTTTCTTAATTTAGTGACACTAAATAATTTATTTGCTTTAATAAAAAAACTGAATAACGAAAAATCCTTACCTACGGCAGAAATTTCAACATGCTCTGAATCTGATACAACATTTTTAGGTATGTCAACCATTAAATTAGTAGATGTACTCGTTGTACTTCTAAGATCCAAGAATGTAGCTTTATTAATGTATTGCGTCTCTCCTTCAGCCTGCATATGTATTTACAAAACATAGTATATCTTATTTTCAGTTCATAATTAATAAAAAAAAATAATAACTCAAGAGATATTACCTTAACGAACAATTTGCGTTCAATACTATCACCAGCCAAAATACTATTTGCAGTTGTTTTAATCACAATATACCCCAGTTCTCGTGGTATAATCATAAAGGATACACTACTACCAGAATTAGCTTTTACAGTTACTTTTTTTTTACGATACAATTCTAATTCTAAAATATTATACAAGAATTGATGATCATTTAATATATTAATCTTATAATATATTTTGAATTATCTAAATCTTACTTGGTACATCATGTACTTCATTGGAAATTTCTGCAAAATCAAATTGACCTTCATTTGTTAGCAGTACTTCAGCTACAACATCTTTGTTCATATAATTAAACACCACAATTTGTGTTGCAACAATTTCTCCTCGAATTACAGAATAAGGAAGATCCATCGTTATAAAAAATGGTCTAAAAACCTTTAACTATAAAAAGATATACTTTTTTCTTATTTTTTGTACAATAGTAATTATGTGAATGATTTATTTATTAATTTTGTAATTACCGTTCGTGGTTCCTGTATGAGGCCCAGTCCATGAACATCATTTACAGAAAATGCCGTTAACACCCATGACGTGATTGAATCAGGTACATTTCTTTTCAGTTCATTTCGTCCATCATACCTAATTTTAATTTACATGTTTATGTTTTATTTGTATTCTGCTTATAAAAGTTTAAACTTCAAACTTTCATATAAAATTAACGTAAATTCTCGTTAAATTTTATATTTGTTTTACTAACATAAGTAAAGATTTATGAAAACAAACATAATTATATGATAAAATAAATCTATAAATAAATTCTAATAATAAAATTATTCTTAAAAATATATACTCTTTGTACATATTTAACCATCTAATTAAAATTAAATAACATTTTGTGTGTAATATGAAAAATTAATAATTCAAGAAATACAACATGTTATGTTTTAACAGTGACTATGTGCCAATCATACATAAATACCCAGAATATCCCAGAGTTTTAATATACATAGAAGTAATCTGTACAAAATAAAGCGATGTTGCATAAATATGATTTGTCAAAGTATGTATATACAGAGTCGTCATTACAGATACGGTCCATATCAGACATCGCATATTTATTCGTCTAGAATTTCAGACCGCAGAAATGGCAATCAAAGAAGGTTTTATTTTAGTTATTTTTAATATTTTATTTATAGTTTCCAAAATAATTTCTTTTTAAATGTATAAGATTTAAAATTAAATTTTTCATAATTATATAAATATCCTGAATCCTACACTTTCCACTCTTTCCTTACTCACTATCCTACAAAAATTTATAATGATGCCTCTGTATATATATAAAGCAAGTGTGTAAAGCTTCGTAAATTGAAAGTATATGGAAATAAATACCCTGAAGAGAAGTTTGTAAAAAGCCAGGTGTTTAAGATGTCATGCATTAGGAATACACGGGGCTTGTTCCAAACAGGAGGTGGAATGCGAGAGAAGGCATAAGGACCTGCCAATGGTGGTCGTGTTGCTAGTTTGTGCGTAACAGGTGGACCAAGATCTGGTCGAAGTGTAGATGCCCCGTGAGAAGAGCCTGTTATTCTACCTTCCAATATTCCTGGTTGTCCTGCAATCGAAGCCTATATGTTGTATTACATCAGATCAATAAACGAAATAATAAAGAATAACATAAAACTTCTACTAAAGTAAATCTAACTTTTTATTAAATTTTAATTAGAAGGTTATAATTTTTATATCTTAATAGATGCAATAGAATGGCATATTATAATTAGATATGGTTCAAGAGTTGAATGAGAAGGGAAACGTTAATTATGATAAAACCATCACCATAAAGCAACATCATATCATTTGTTAAATACCCTATATACCTTTATAAATGTTAATAACTTAACAATGGTAAAATGTATTGTATGCTTTTAAACAACTAATATTTAAGTACTATAATACTTAGATAACGAATTATAAATTAACGAGTGTTGTTTCAATTATAAAAAAAGTGTTCTCAGCAGGTAAAAATTTTCAATTGCATTACCCAGCATCAAGCGTTTGCCAAAGCCAAGTTTCAGGGAAATTCTTGCGTATTTTCATCTTCTCTGATGGCAATGCAATGGAACTTGAACTTCCAACAGCGGTTGTAAAGCCGGGCGACTCTAAATCAGATCTGTAGTATACTATACAGATATAAGCCTTGTTAATAATAAATACCTGGTATTAGCTAAAGAATTGATAGAAAGTATTATATATGGTACTAAACTCAAGAATAAACCTTTCATGCTACATTACAAATCAATCGAATATTGTTGACTAGTATGTTATGATATTAGACAAATGTTTGAAGGTCATATATATGGGATGAGTAAGTTATTATTAGTAGTAAATTAAGAAGTTGTATAACAAGTTATTTGAGTTTACTTACGAATTGGAAAATTTTCATGAACGTATCCGTTTGTTATAATTATAGCACCACTTTCCTAATAAACAGCACAATATATAAATTGTTTATACGAACGATAAAAAAACCTATGAAAATAGAGTATAATTTATTTACCTTGAAAACGTCGTTTGCAGTAGCTGAACCAGGACTCCATAAAAATCGATCAAAAATTGAATCTGCATAAGGTGAATCTTGTACCAAATCATACGATTTTAACTCTTTGTACACTTGTTCCTATAAAATAAAGTATTTTGTAATACTTTATATTTGAAATAAAATTTTAATTAATGAAAATTATCTATAAATTTCTTACATATGAAATATCATTTCCAGATTTCAGCAAAATAGATCTTTGATCCACACCTAATAGTCCAATATATGAATTTGGTTTTGAAGTAATGATTAAATTAACATTTTCTCCTGGCGCAACTTCTTCAGGAGCAACTTTAACATCAACCTTAAATGAGAAATATAATATTAATATATAAATAAAATAATTATAATCGTTATTAATAAACTTACAAAATTCTGGAGGACTTCTTCAAGTTCTACATCTAAAGCATCTGCAATAATTTCTCCATCATTTCCTATATAATATACAATCACATGTGCAGTAGGAGCCATAACATATGTTGCTACAAACCTACGATATATTTTAATTGCAATGAGTAAGTAACAAACAGAATATAATTATTACACTTTGTGAAATATTTACGTAAAAACTGTCGTATATTTATTTTGTACATAAATAGAACCTGCATCCAATATATCACCACGTCCGAATATTTCATAACTAATATATTTCAATGGACTTGTAGAATTTACTTCAATTTCCACTTCTTGATTAACCTTGTTAAAAGAAAGGAAAATATGTAATGATTATTGTTTTTAATATATCTAAAATGATTTAAAATAAGACATACCGTGGGTTTTTTAGTTTTTAATATAGCTTGAATATATTCATTACTTAAGGACACGGCCTGATTTGTAGAAGGAAACCACTCTCGAAGATTTAAATATTGTGCCTGTTTTAAACATTTTATTTATTAGTTTAATTTCAACTAATTAATATAATTTCAATAAATTTCAACATTAAAAATGTACCATTTTTACTACAAAGATTTATTAGATACTACTATGATACTTTATTATATTTTACCTCAATATTTAAAGGAAATGAACTGCTATCCTTAGACTTTGGTGGATAGAAATCGAGCTGTATCATTCCATTTTTATCTAACATACCAGTAATATTGGTGTATGCAGACTGATTGTAAGTATATCCATACATTATTAAAACAGGATTCTTATCATCTTGTACCGGTGTTCCATCGTGATACGTCAATTTTATCTAAAATAATTTTGTTTTATATTCAAATTGTAAAGTTACATTTGCAGTACTAAAAACTCATTTTCGTTTCATTTATGTACATACAAATGCCGTATATTTTAAACCCGGTTTATAATATTCCGACGTTTTTATTAATTCCATTTTATATTTATGTTTATGGAGTATTATTTGAGTAGAAGTATTTTGTGTTCTACCAGTTAAAGATTCTTCTACTGTAACATCAATCATAACTGGTCTTTCAAAATCATCAGTTAACCTATTAAAAATATAACAAAATTAAATTTTTAGCATTCTCTAATAAGTATTTAAGAATTTATTATTAAATTAGGTACCTAAGTTCAGAATGAATATCGAAATCGACTACTACTTTTCCATCAATGGGAAGCACTTTTCGCACAGGTTGCTGATATATTGGTTGAATAACACCAGAAAAAATATCTGGATGTGCTGTAATTGTTGCTTCTCCTTTTACTGGTTTGCCATAAGTATACCTAAATGATTTGCACTTTGAAATAAATAATTTTTATCAAACTTTTTATGGGAATATTAAAATAATAAATTGTGCATTAAATAACATCATTATCACTGTCACAATTACAAAACAGAAAATAAATTATTATTAACAATCTTGGTTATGTTTAAAAAATAAAATAGATTTATTAAAATATAGCAATTAACTTACTTAGCATAAACTGTTGCTGTAATTTTTGAATCTTTAAATGTAACATGTTTAGGAGTATTAACAGTCACTTCAAAATTAGGAAGAACATATTCAGCAACTTCAAATTCCTTTTCAAAAGTTTGATCACCAATATTAGTCACGATTTTCCAAACACCTAAAACTGGTGACACAGATAGTTCAATTTCTCCATTAAAGATGCCATGTGTTACAGATGGACGAACCCACTGCTTGATTCTATTTCCTTTCCCATCCTATAGGAGAGTCATGTACTTTTTATCATTTCTTTTATTTACTATGTGACATTTGTTTAAAAGTATTTTACCATAATATGAACGTCCATTAGTCTATCTAATGTAGGTCTTAATCTTGAATTCAATAAAATACATCTGAACATAACTTTATTTCCTGGCTTATAAATTGCTCTATCAGTTTGAATAAAGACTGAGTAACTTTTATGTATATATTCAATAGGTTTTGAATTTGAAAAATCTATTCCAGACAGTCCACGTGCAACTAGTTGGTATTTACCAGGGATAATATCGCCGACCTAAAATTGTGAAGAAAGTTTATAATTACACATCATTTTATTTCAGGAAAATATTTATAAATGTAAGTATACTTACATCAAACTGTAAAATTCTTGTAGAATATGGTTGCACATTTGTAATTTGAGAAACATTGAATATTTCTCCATTATTAAGTAATCCATTTAATTCAATGTATATTTCTGATGTTACTGATATTCCAGTGGTACTCACTGCTACATGATATTCTGAATCAGGTCGGACCACTTTTGGGGCTATTATACTATAAAATCTTTTAACACATTCAAATATTAGATTATTTGATTAACTGTTAATTTAAATAATAATTATTGTTTCGAGAAATAAATTAATGCAATCAATAAAATAAAGACATACTTACGATTCTGCATTTGCACTTATCATCATGTAACTAAAAAGAATGAACCACTGCCAATCCATTTTTGTTAGTTCTGTAAAATTTATGTGAATTAACCTCATTTTTAATTGAAGAAATTCATTGTAATTATTAAAATTTGACTACATAATACAATTTTAATTTAATAATTTTTACTTCTTTAAAAATTTTGATTTTTATAAATACATATTTACACAAAGTAAATAAGTAATCTGTAAGTTTAAGTCTTTTATAACTATAATACATAAATAAGCAATATTTTGAAATATCTAACTGGCTCCTCCATTGGTAATTACAGATGTACTTCCCTACAAAAACACAAGTAATTTATTTACATACTTATTTTGAAATATTAAAATGTTTAACAAAGAGAACCATTAATTTTTGTTTTAAGTATAAATAATTAAATACCATTAGATTACTACTTGAAGTATAACATAAAATTAATAAATGTCCTTGTAATAGATTGGACTATTCTATTTTCAATTTAATTTAACAAGAAAAAAGAACAGGTGTAAAAATTTTTTTTGAAGTAATAATATGCTGCAATGATAAACATGTCTGAAAAATTTGTACATATCATAAATTTATGATTGTATTAAGTAAATAAATTGCTTATAATTTATAAAATAATTTTATAATTTAAAATATTAATGAAATATTTCTATCTTTATCATGTTTAGAGATCAGATATGTATGTATGCTTACAATATTTGAAGACCACTTATTCAATAAATAATTAACCGATTTGAAGATAATTATATCAAGCAGTATGTTAATGTACATACTATAAAACTGCATTAATGTATATTAATTATTTATGCAAAAAACAGGAACAAATGACATATAATATAAGAAGTTAAATTATCACAATATTCAGAGCTTATAATTTTGTAAAATATTAATTTATACCTACTTGACATACAAAAAAAAATGTTATTGATTTGTATAATCTGTATGTATATTAATTGTTTTAATCGTTGGTATATTATATTGTTTTGATTAACTGAAAATTCAACATAAAACATATTCTTTTTAACAAAAAGAGAATTTTATTTTTTCAAATAGCCTACTCAACAGAATCTACTTATTAGTTAGAAAGTAGTACGGCAGAAGTTTATATTGTACATTCTACAAGTCCCCGAAACCCGATTTAGAGATTCGTACCAATTTTCATGATATAGGAAATTATTAACCACATGTAACCATAAAGAGACAAAAAAAAGGCGATGTTCGACAATCTTTCATTTTTTCATTCGTTAAATTATTATCTTAATAATTATTTATCAATTTTTGCATGATGAAATGGCCAATGGTTAATCAAAAAACGTGCCATCTTACAATATAATTGTGAACGGTGATTCACCATTTCAAAAGACCTACCTTTCTTGATGCCTTTAAAGATGTAGTGTTGGTTACATTCGATCACAATTTGTATTATTCTTTCAAAGATTATCAAAAAGGTACTATGAACGAACGCAAAGTATTGAAACTATCCAATGCAACAGTTAGACGAATACTAACGAACACTACCAATCATGGCCTCAAGAAAGCAAGCGAGGAGTACAGGTTTCCCTTCCTTCCGACTACTATGCTTCTGTTGTACCTGTCACGTTTTTACCGTTATGGGAATAACAAGTCGCTGAAATACCATTACTGTAAACTCTACTTGTTTATCTGCATAAATTTCAACTCGTCACGAGTATATATATCTTCGGTTATATGAATCACGGCTAAAAGGATATTGTACACTACGCACCAATAGCTTCCTATGACGATCTTTAAGTTAAAATTCAAATAAATAATATTTATGTACATATTTAGAATTGAATTAACCATTAAGTGAAATAAACACGTGTTTAAGATATTAAGGAAAGGGTATTATTACACAAATTTTCCACAACTAAGTTTACCATGGATCATATTTCCTACAGCCTCAAAAACTTTAAAGCTTCGAGTCTCACTTCCGAAATACCAATAACTCAAAATATTATTTTTTCAAATTGTCATTGTCTTAAAGTCTCAAGACTTCAAAATATTAAACTTCTAAAGTATTAAAATTCTAAAACCTGTAACTTTAATGATTTAAAAATTCCAAAATCCCAAAATTCAAATATTCCTATGCCCTAAAATTTTTGTCCCAAAACATATCTTAAAAAATGAATTTACGGTTTATATTTTAAATTAGATATATTTATAAGGAGGTACTGAAATATTTTTAACCGACTTCGAAAAAGGAGGAGGTTACTCAATTCGATCAGTATATATTTTTTTTTTTTCATTATTATTATTTTCTATGTGTGCCCGCCGATTACGCCTAGCTAGATGCACCGATCGGAACGAAACCTTTTGCATCTGGTAGGTTCTGACTCCCCATTGGTACCATTACCAAAAAATTTTTCATTTTTTAATTGCAAAGTGTTGTTATTGCAAAAAAACCGGCAACTTTTGAAATAAACTTTTCTCGATTTTAGTGCGCTTTTAATATCT